GAAGACAGAGACTATTGTGATGATAGCATTGAGGAGGTGTTGAAGGCGATTAAAAATCTCAAAAACAACAAGAGCCCAGGGTGTGATGGTATAACTGCTGAATTTTACTAAATGTTTGATGAATTACTAACTGCCTTTCTGGTAAAAGTTTTCTCAGAGAGCTTAGAGAAAGAAGCTCTTCCAACAACTATGACGCAGGGTGTCATCACATTGATTCCAAAACCAGAAAAGGACAGAAACTATCTAGAGAATTGGCATCCTATCACTCTTAAATAATGATTACAAAAGTTTTGCACTAGTTTTCGCTAATAGACTTAAAGAAGTGTTAGACTCTATTATAGATGAATCACAATCTGGGTTCATGAGGAAACGACATATTGCAAATAACATTAGATTAGTGCTGGATTTATAATGAGCTTATCAGTGACAACAGCTTCATTCTGTTACTTGATTTTTATAAGGCGTTTGACTCGCTTGAACATATGTTTTATCCTACAAGCACTTCAACAATTTGGATTTGGAGATGGCTTTTGCAGAACTGTCAGGACCCTGTATAAAAATGGTAGTAGTGCAATAAAACTGAAATTTGGTACTTCCCCTATAGATTCAGAGTGTCACGTGGTATCAAACAAGGGTGCCCAATCTCCCCATACTTGTTTTTGATCGCCTCTCAACTCTTAGCTCTACATGTCTCTAACAGTGCCTTGGAAGGGATAACATTGGCTGAGAGAAGTATCATCCTTAGTCAACTATCTTCCTGAGAAGTGCCTCCCACATTCCCCCTGCGAAAGAGTTGATCAGAGGATTTTCACAAGCTTCAGGTCTAAATTTAAACTTAAGAAAATGTGAACTAATGGCAGTTAAAGAATGTGATGTTTCAACTATATGCGATATCCCGGTGAAGGATCAGGTTACATACGGGAACAATAATAATTAAAGACCACAATATAAGTCCATTAAATTTTAGCCCAATCATTGAAAAAAAAAAAGTGAAACTCTTGGCTACAAAGAGACTTATCCTTGAGAGGAAGAGTGTTACTGACAAAAGCGGAGGGAATTTCCAGACTTGCTTATTTGGCGGCCTCTTTGGATGTTGATTGTGGGGTATCGAAAAGAATTGACAATATATTGCTTAATTTCGTGTGGAAAAACAAAACTCATTTTGTCAAAGTCTGTAATAATGAACACAAATCGGTGTGGGGGCTTAAATCTTTTGGACTTCACAACTTTAAGCAACACCTTCAAAATCAACTGGCTCAGACAATTGATTAATAATCCAACATCACTATGGAATTTTATTCCAAACTATATTTTCTCTAAAATCGGTGGCCAGAATTTTCTGTTATTTATGCAATTATAATATTAGCAAAATCCCAATCAAACTGTCCAATTTTCATAAACACATGCTTTCAGCTTGGTCTCTCTTATTTAAACATAACTTCTCACCTCATATATTTGGCATAATAAGGACATTCTCTTCAAAAATCAATCTTTATTTTTTGAAAACTGGTACAGGAATAATATTTTACTTGTTGGCCAACTCTATGACACAAATGGCAGACTGTACAGTTATTCAGATTTTTTGAGGAAATGTCAAATTCCTGTTTCGGTTAAGTAGTATTCAATTGTCTTTGATGCAATTCCTTCTGGAATCAGAATGCTGCTGGGAGGCATTCATTTCCCATGGCCACTGCTGTGGGGAGTTTATGCTTTTCTGTGGTGCACCAGGCTAAAAATAAAACAATTAGGACTTTATACCCAACAGATATTGTTACCATTCCTTATATAATGCCGTATTGGAACAGTTTAATAGAGAATGTCCCTTGGAAAAAGGTTTGGTCTTTGCCTTTCAAATATATGCTCACTAATAAAGTGAGAGAAGTTACGTTTAAATGAATTCAGATTCTACCCAGCAAAGTGTGTGCTTAAGCGGTATAAACCAGATATTGAATCTGAATGCTCTTTCTGTAAAAGGTCAGATGAAGATATTTCCTATTTATTTTGGAAATGTTCCTACACAGAAAGATTCTGGTCAGATGTCCTTGAATTTATCCAAACCTATTTCGTTACGGATTTCTCATTTTGTTTTAAGGATGTTTTCTTTGGTGTGGTCGACCTTAAGACGGACAAGGAAGGAAAATATTTAATTATTAATCTTTTATTTCTACTCGCTAAATATCACATCCAGAAATGTAAGTTCAGGGACTCTAAACCTTTCTTTTCTGTGTTTGAGAGTGAAGTCAATGAATATTTGGACTCCATAAGATATTCAAAGAACTGTAAAGCTCTAAAGACTATGCAGATTTATTCAACACTTGTGACATCACGTGACTGAATGATATTGGAACTCTTATAACTGTAAGTGATGCAATTGGACTGCTTGTTGATTTGCTTCGCTGGACTTTGCAGACTCCCTGGGATATGATTTGTTAATGTATGTATTGTAGTTGTGTGTATGTGTACTTGTATGTGTTGTTTGTAACTGCAAATGCTGTCAATAAATTAATAATAAAAAAACAAAACAAATTTCTAACCAGCATGCATCTTGCGGTGATCACCGGTGATGGGATCTACGCAGATTTTGCTCATCTCAAACAAGCCTAATGTGAGTTACTGCCGATTAAAAAAATGGGTTATATCCTCTTTCCGTAATATTCCTGATAAAGAGAGCGTTATGTTTTACGAAAATCTGTTATATTAAATTCCTATGATAAAGGCGACTTAAATTTGATTGATTTTGACTCTTGAAATTAATTGGTTTAAACGCTTCCTCCGTAACCAATCTTCTATTTGGTGTAATCCCACGATATGTCTTTTCTCAATTAGGAGGTATACATTTCCTTTTAATGTGTAGTTATTCTATTAGTAAGTTTCCCAAAAACTCTCCAATTATCATAAACAAATGCCTTTGGCTTGGGGATTTATTTACAGGCATAATTTTTCACCACATATTTTTTATTTATTTGGAATAACTGTAATATTCTATATAAGAGGAAATCCTTGTTTCTTGAAAACTGAAGTGATGTTAGTGAACCAGCTGTTTGACAATGATGGTAATTTTTACCATCTACCAATTTCCAGTGTCTAGGAAAGGATTTAATCTAGTTTTCAAGGCCCTCTCTTTGGAAATTTGCTCTTCAGAAACAGTAATTTCTGTATTACTTCTTTATTTTGGTCTTATTTTTTTTTAAATCCTGTTAACATTTCCATCCATCATATCTTTGCTCAGGCTTTCTGGAGTAATGTTAATGCCTTGATTGTCCAAAATGTGATTTTTCCTTATCTTATAGACACATTCTTTTTGGGTTTTATATTAATGACAAGAATTTAATCAAAGCAAGTTTTTGTATAAACCTCCTTTTATTTATTGAAAAGTTTTAGATCCATAAATGTAAATATGCAAAAATATGCAAATCCAAAATTGTATTCAAGTACAAATTCAATTCTTGTTTGAAGATGTTAAAGTGTTAACATCTTTCAAACAAGAATTGAATTTGTACTTAAATACAATTTGAATGTATGTAAACAGGAAAGCTATAAAAACATCTAGAATTTGTGCCATGTTTAATAATCTTTTTTATAATATGCTTTTATTAATCTTTGTGCCCCAAGTCCATGTCCTACATTTTTTTTTATCATTCCAGAAGCCATATTTGTCAAAATAGGGAAGAAAAGACTACTTTCTGTTCATGCCACTCTTGTCATGTTACAAGTATTTATTTTTTAAACTACTACTAGTATCTATTCCATTAGGTACTAGTACTTATTCTTTAGGTACTAATGCTTATTCTTTGGGTAGTAGCTTTTTAAATATATTTTACATTTACATGTATTCATTTAGCAGACACTTTTATCCAAAGCGACTTACAAATGAGAACAATAGAAGCAGTTAAAGCTCCAGTCGGCAAGTCTGGCAGATTGAGTGGATTTAGGAAAATTTTGAATGTTTACAACTCTCATGCCCCTCCCCCACTATCAACAGATACCCTCCCACCCAGTTCATGCTCGTCAGTGCGTGTGCACCAGATTTTCAGTGAACGCCAGGGCTCTCAAGTGTCACGCATTGAGCGTGACAGTCACTCATTTCGGTCTTTTGTCACGCTCTCCCGCCACACATTGTATTTCTCACGCTGAAAAACTATTTGTAATATATTTAATATGCCGCAGCGCCCAAAACTCTGGCCGCGCCGCTCTCACTGTGGAACCGGCATGAATCAAGCGCGTTTCCTCTGGTGTTGTTCGTCGAGCTACACAATAGCCAATCAGAAAATAGCACTATTGTATCTGGGTAAGATTTAACGCAACAACCAATGACAAAAATGGATCCAACCCCCCGTCGGCTGGGTGTCACTCTTACCTGTCTTCAAAACTTGAGAGCCCTGGAACGCAGCATCCATCAACACTATGGAGTATTTGGAGGTATGCTGTCCTGGCTAATGTACCGATAGATTGCAATTGCTAACGTCATTTATACTCTAAATGAGCTTACTTGATTTTCCGCCATCACTCTTCGTTACTGCGCGAACTTCCGCGAACTTCAGGCGTGTGCATGTGATTGTAACGTGCGCGAGGGGTGGCGTGTGCCCGATCTGTGATTGACAGTCAGATCTCACACCCCCCTGCGCTGATTGGACATGATGAACCGGGAGCTGTGGATTTTTGCAAAACAAATAACAAGCTCCAGGTGGAGTTAGAAGCTCGGGGTTTTTTCTAAAACCACTTTATTTATGTTGTTCTGTCAGATTATAGTGTAGATTTCACTGAATATGATCAAAAAAATGTTGCCGACGGCAGCTTTAAACTAACAGTAGGACAATATATGCAAGTGCTATGACCCATCTCAGTTTAATCTAACGCAATCCATGTACATTTTTTTATTTTTTATTGTTACGTTCCAGTCCCCAAAAGGGAGGGGAACCTGATAACCCACCGCTTGGGCCCACAAATGCCAGTAAAGGAGGTATGGAGTCGTGGTGCGAGAAAAGGACACAAATTCCAAATACCGTACAAACTAAGCTTTTATTTTTGCCACGGTAATAATGTGAATGATAAATAATTTTCAGGGAGAAAGGGGAGAGCTGGACGAACCAAAGAAAAGAAATAAACAAAAGATACCCCACCGCTAACCTATTCTAATTATACACATCACCTATCTGGCACACGATCAAGGCGCCCTAACCAAACTTACAGATGGTGGTCCGCCCAGGTCTAGCTGGTGTTTCTAGACAGAGAAGTATGCCTACGGGTGATGTATACCCCGGGGTAGCTCTAAATCTACTCCCCCAACTCCCTATAAACAATAAAGAAAAAGTTAACACAAATAATAATAATAATTCACAAACTCAGTCCTGCTGTTCACAAGTTCCAAAAGTGGAACACAAAACTAGATTTACTAGCTAACAAATCAGATTAAAACATTGTCAAAGCATTGTCAAATGTTCCAATCATAATCTCAATAGAGAACAATAAAGTTATCTACAAGTCACAAAGATCCCCACAAAGGGATACCAACCACACCAACAGCAGGAGCAGAGAGCAGAGCAGAGACTGAACCGATTCAAAACTAGGCTTTTTAAAGAGCCCAGCCAGCTGCATCCACTGACGAGCGGGAGGAGTTCCAAGATCCAATCAGCCGTTGAACCACCAATCAGCTGCCGGAACTGTTACAGAAGACATCTTACCTGTTAGAAGAAATACAAACACAAAAACCACAAGCAATGCCAGAAAAGAATCACTATAATACGTACCCAGCTCTCTGGGGACGTAACATGCCTCCCCCCAAAAGTTGTGCAAACCACCATTTGCACACCATTTAGTCTTGGTACACACGGGACAACACGTCAGATGTTCCTTTGACATGAGTGATGCAGACATTATATCCCTGTAGGATCAGAGCCCACCGCATAAGACGACGGTTCTGATTGTACATTCTTTTGAGGAATGTAAGAGGATTATGGTCTGTGAATACTCTTACAGGCACAACACTAGAACCGACATATACCTCAAAAAACTGTAAGGCCAACAATAAAGCAAGCGTTTCTTGTTCAATAGTAGAATACCGGGACTGGCATGGATTGAACATCCTAGAATGGCCGATCTACACCATCCTTATCTTCTTGTACAAGGACTGCCCCAGCCCCTACCATACTGGCGTCTACCTCCAATTTGAAAGGTTTGTCAAAGTTAGGAGCAGTTAGCACAGGAACGCTACAAAGCAGTGCTTTTGCTGACTCAAAAGCAGAGTTACACTCTGCGGACCATTTAAAAGATATTTTTGGACTGAGCAAAGTGGTTAGGGCTGCTACTACCGTTGAAAAGTTTTTACAAAAAGTCCGGTAGTAACCCATCATTCCAAGAAAACGACGCAACTGACGGCATGTTTTAGGGGCAGGATAACTAGCAATAGCTTCCACCTTGCTAGCAATGGGACGCACTTGCCCACGACCCACCTGTTTCCCCAGATATGTTACAGTAGCCTTAGCGAATTCACATTTAGCCAAGTTGAGGGTTAGCGAAGCGTTCTCCAACCGCTGGAACACCAAACTCAACATGGATAGATGTTCAGCCCACGTGGGTGAGTATACTACTACGTCATCAAGGTAAGCTGTACAGTTAGGGACGTCATCAAACACAATGTTAACTAAACGCTGAAATGTAGCGGGTGCATTGCACATTCCAAATGGCATAACCGTATACTGTACAAAGGTATCGGGGGTCACAAAAGCCGAAATATCAGAAGCCCGTGGGGTTAAAGGCACCTGCCAATAACCTTTAAGCAAATCGAGTTTACTTACAAAAACAGCCGAACCAATCCGGTCAATACAGTCTTCTATCCTGGGCAGCGGATAGGAATCTGGCACAGTTACTGCATTGACTCGACGGTAATCCGTGCATAGACGGGACGTACCGTCCGGTTTTGGAACTAAAATACACGGAGAGCTCCAAGCACTATGACTACGTTTTGCCACGTCATGTTTTAACAAGTAGTCAACCTCATCTTTCATTAACTCACGTTTTTTTTATATTTACCCGATAGGGATGTTGGCGAATAGGAGATGTACTGCCAACATCCACATCGTGCATCAAAACAGACGTGCTCTTAGGTACATCCTGAAACACAGTAAGAAAAGACTGTATTAGAGACACAAGATCATCTTTTTGACTGCCATCCAAATGTTCCATCAACGAAGGTAAGTTTTGTAGCATCTCTGAATTACCAAGACGTTTACACTGTTGTAATGAGTGACGCAATTCCAAACCATCATTATTGTTCTCCTCTAGGTCCCCTGTAGGCACAGGTACCACCAACACCACACTGGATCCTGCAGACTGGACCGGAACACTAGAGGGATTGTCGGAAGAATTACGCACATGATAGGCTTTCAGCATGTTAACATGACACAAACGAGAAGAGCGCCTGCGATCTGGTGTTTTAATAATGTAGTTAGTATCACTAACTTTGTGCTCCACAACATACGGTCCAGAAAAACTGGCAGACAGTGATGAACCTGGAATTGGTAACAAAACCAGTACTTGATCCCCTGGCAAAAACGCACGGTCTTTTGCCTGTTTGTCATACTGTCTTTTCATTCGTGACTGAGAAGAGACTTCTGAGCTAGCATGCGGGCAGCATGCAGCCTCTCCCGCATCTGACTTACAAAGTGTAACACATTTTTAGGGGTGCTACTAGGCGCATCAGATAAAACATGCTCCTTTAACACTTTTAACAGACCCTTAGGTGTGTGTCCGAACACGAGGTCAGCTGGGCTGAACCCCAACGATTCCTGCACTGTTTCCCTTACAGCAAACAAAACAAAGGGCACCCCCTCATCCCAATCAGCACCTGTTTTCATGCAATACTTCCTCAGCATGGTTTTGATGGTCTGGTGCCAGCGTTCAAGAGCCCCCTGACTCTCTGGATGGCAAGCGCTGGAGACCTGATGCGATATGGACAATGTTTTTAATGCAGAAGAAAACAGTTTGGACATAAAATTAGTTCCTTGATCCGTCTGGATCACTCTGGGGAGACCAAAGGTGGAAAAGAACTTGATCATACTCTTTATAATTGTCTTAGCTGTAATTGTCCGGAGAGAAATAGCCTCTGGATACCGAGTGGCACTGCACATAATGGTAAGCAGAAACTGGTTACCTGTTCGAGTTTTTGGCAATGGACCCACACAGTCAACAATCACCCGCTCAAACGGTTCTCCAATCACGGGAATCGGTTGAAGTGGCACACGAGGAACAGGTTGGTTCACTTTTCCTGCAAGTTGGCACATATGACAGGTTTTACAGTATTGCACAATGTCCGATTTTAATCCCGGCCAGAAGAAATGTCGGAGGACTCTGTTGCAAGTTTTAGTTACCCCTAAATGTCCGGACCATGCAGGGTTATGAGCCAGTGACAATACTTGCTGTCGTAGTGGAGATGGAACAACTACCTGCCAAACTGTATCCCAGTCCTCACCGGTATTATGCGCAGTCCATTTGCGCATTAGAACACCAGCGTCCACAAGGTAAGCAGCCCCCTGTACTTTTGCCTTTTCGAGAGGGACCACAGAATCAAAGCATTTATTAAGGCTGACATCCTCTTTTTGCCACTCAATCAGCTTCTCTGGTGTGATGGAAGACAACACATATAACTGGGGAGCGACTCCGCACCCCCTTTTCTCAACCTGCACAGAAGGTAACCCCTCTGGTTTAGGTTCTACATCTACAGGTTCAACCCGTTCAAGAATAGTGTCAGATAAATTCACTGCACACCAGCGATCAAACAAGTACTCTTTGTCCCTGGCAAACTCAAATGTTTTACTACCGCTTTTCTTATAGTTTCTAGATCGTTGTCAATAAGCCTCTGGCACCAGCTCATAGGCACGCAGTACAGTAGCTTTAACCACATCATAACGCAAACTATCCTCTATGGAGAGAGAGGCCACAACCTCCTGGGCCTTCCCAGTTAGCTTACATTGGAGAAGTAGAGGCCAAACCTCTTTTGGCCACTGTAAGGCAGCAGCTACCCGTTCAAAAGAGGAAAAATATGAGTCTACCTCAGACTCACGGAATGGGGGAACAACCGCAATATTCCTCCCTACATCAAAATGACCTGGCTTGCCAACTGAGTAAGGAGACACCCCAGCCTCAAGCTCCATTCGCCGAATGTGAATTCGAGCTTCCTTGTCTGCCTCTATTTTTCTCATTTCTATCTCATACCTCCTTTTGTCTTCCCTGTCTTTTTGGTCTGCTTCTTGACGGGCTGTTTTCAGCTTTAGCCGAGCGACCTCTACAGACTCAGGGACCACAGGAGAAAATGGGTCATACTTTGGCAGAGTTCGAGGCACCGGAGCATCTCTATCCCCCACACCGCCCTTCTGCCGTGCAGGCGAGAGATTCTCTACGACGCCCTCGTCCTCCCCTTCATCTTCTATTTCCACATCCTCCACAGCCATAACTCCTGCCCTTGACAGACTCAATAAATGGCTTTTAATCACTACTAGATTCGCTTTACGAGCCTGCCTATCAACTGTTAGATTATAGTAGTCTGCTAGTGAAAATAGATCCACCTTACGCAGATTACACAATGACCCCAATGAGGGCTCTGCAATAAAGCCTGCCACATCTGAAGTAGCCGCCATACTCACCCCAACTCCAGTACACTCTTAAACTATTCAGACAACTACAAATACTAACCAACTATAGGATAGAACAACCACTACTATGCCAAACAACACTACTAAGCCTTTTCACACCTCAACACCACACCTCAATCACCAAGCATCAATTGGTCCGAGCAACGGGGCACCAAGATCCCGGACGAGTCCCCATCTGTTACGTTCCAGCCCCCAAAAGGGAGGGGAACCTGATAACCCACCGCTCGGGCCCACAAATGCCAGTAAAGGAGGTATGGAGTTGTGGTGCGAGAAAAGGACACAAATTCCAAATACCGTACAAACTAAGCTTTTATTTTTGCCACGGCAATAATGTGAATGATAAATAATTTTCAGGGAGAAAGGGGAGAGCTGGACGAACCAAAGAAAAGAAATAAACAAAAGATACCCCACCGCTAACCTATTCTAATTATACACATCACCTATCTGGCACACGATCAAGGCACCCTAACCAAACTTACAGATGGTGGTCCGCCCAGGTCTAGCTGGTGTTTTTAGACAGAGAAGTATGCATACGGGTGATGTATACCCCGGGGTAGCTCTAAATCTACTCCCCCAACTCCCTATAAACAATAAAGAAAAAAGAAAAAGTTAACACAAATAATAATAATAATTTCACAAACATCAAATGCTCAGTCCTGCTGTTCACAAGTTCCAAAAGTGGAACACAAAACTAGATTTACTAGCTAACAAATCAGATTAAAACATTGTCAAAGCATTGTCAAATGTCCCAATCATAATCTCAATAGAGAACAATAAAGTTATCTACAAGTCACAAAGATCCCCACAAAAGAATACCAACCACACCCAGAGCAGAGACTGAACCGATTCAAAACAAGGCTTTTTAAAGAGCCCAGCCAGCTGCAGCCACTGATGA